AGTCAGTTAGTATTTTTGGCTTTTGGAGCTATACGGTCTCTGTTGCAGCTACTCAACTCTGCTGTCCAGCCAAGGGCCGCCACAGAATGGGTATGGTGGGGGGTCCATAAAATGTCGTTTATCAGAACAGGCTCTGAGGGCCATGATTTGCCAGCTGCTGGCCTAAATCACCGTTGTGCTGAGACTTTCGCCTGCCTTCCTGTATGTATTTCTGCCCTTGTATGGAACCAATTCATTATCATCGCAACGGGGCAACAGGGGGCATTAGGGAGCTTATCACAATTTAACTCCCTCAGTCCTATGACAGCCCCGGTCGGGGTCGGTCGGGGGAGCCCTAACTGACAGGTGACATTGGGAGGGCCTGGTGCAGTGTGCCCGGCTCAGCTGACACCCTGTGGTTGCCGGAGCCTGTGTCCCTCTGTTATTTGTGTGAAATTCCTGTCTGTGTGGCCAGGAGGGCCCCCGATCACCTGTGTGGCCCGCGTGTGCCTGGCCACACGCCAGGTATATCTGCCTCCTTCTGTGACTGCCCCACACCATCGTCTGTCTATGGGTTATGCAAATGTGACATAGGGGAAGCAGGTTAAGGGGCAAACCACAGGCTGTGTCTCTTTCCCATGCAAAAGGGGAAACCGAGGCCCAAAGAGACAGTCCGGCCTGGGCGCTCTCTACCACGGCACCTCCGGGCCTCCTTGCCCAGCAGGGAGCTACAGCGACAGGACTCGTGCTCAGACAGCCAGTGGGACTTCCCCGGCCTGGTGGGGACTGACAAGAGTGCCCGGGGCACCTCCCCACCGGGGCCCATAGTGCTCACCACTGTGCACGGCTATGACAGGCCGGTGGTGCTGGGTGAAGCTGGAGAGGCGCGGCGAGTCCTGGGGAGACGGGCTGTTGAAGGGTGACTTGTCCATCTCTGTCTTCTTCACCGGGGATGAGATGCCTGAGGGGAGGGGCCAGAGGGTCACAGGGCTGCCTGCAGGGTGGCTCCGCTCCCAGGACCCCAGCCTCCCTGCTGCAGCCCCTGCCCCTCTTCCTCCCAGCAGCCTGTGGGCAAGGGGCCGGGGGTTGACTTTATGGATGGAGCGAACTGAGGCTCACGGTAGAGAAGGGAGCCGCCCGGGTTTATGGCCTCGATGCCACTACAGGCCCCGGACACCCCCACTGGCCCCGCCCCTTTTCTCACTCCAGAGACAGGCCTCCCAGGGCTGCCCAACCCCCGGAGAAGACGGCAGGGTGAGCAGACGGGGGTGGGGGGGTAGGGGTGGGGACTGGTGAGCCGAGAGGACCCCGACAAGCCCCTAAGCCGCAGAGCTTGTGTCCGCTCATCCTTACAGGGGAAGGCAGAAAACCCTTGCAAGGTCGCCTCGAGGATGAAATGAGCTATAAGGTGTGAAGGGCCTGCCGCACACCCAGCTGCTGGCATTACTTGCTAACTGTCATCCCTCTGAAGACGGGGGCCTCACTACCTCCCCTGCCCTGGCCCTTGGGAACCCTGACAGCTCAGCCCCTTCAACCTTCTGTGAGCAAATGAATGAATGAATGAATGAGTGAATGAATGATGTAAAACGGGCACATGTCGAATCCATGGGGACCTGGCACAGAGCAAACGCTGGCTCAGGAAGAAGCCGCCGTCACCATGATACAGAGGATGGGCCGCACCAAGGCCAGGCACAAGTCAGCCCTGAAGAAGTGAGAGTGCCCCTTGCCTTCCTCCCTGCACCCCAACTCTGCCAGCCTCCAAATGTGAGAGCTAAGGATGGTGGCATGCACCCCCAAAATGCAGATCCGGCCCCATCCCTGGAATTGGGATCTCAAAGAAGTGGGGCCTGGAGATGGACATGTTTAGAAATTATTTTTAAAATTTATTTCAGGGTGAAATGTTCCCATTGAGACCCTGATCAGATCTGACTTTCTTGCCACCCAGCACAAGGTCTACTCCAGAAACATCTCCCAGCACTGCGGCCATCAGGGCTGTGCTGGCCACTGTGCCGTGCTGCCAGCATCCCTGGCCCCCACCCACCCCGTGTGACAACCACGTGTGTCCGTAGCCAGGGCCCAGTGTCCCCTGTGGGCAGTCACCCCAGTTGGAACCCCTGCCCTCCTCCAAGGCATGCTGTCAGTGTTGCTGGGGTCTCCTGCCCATGGCTGTGGGTGGGCATCTGCACACGTTCCCCAGCCCTGTCCCGCCCACACACTGCTGCCCCCTCTCCCTGTGGCGTTTCTACACAGGCAGCTTCCTGTCCCCGCCAACAGCATAGCTTGGGGTGAACGGATCGCGAGCCAAACCTGCTGCCCTCGATGGCCCCGAGGACGCACCTCACTGTTTGAAGGAGCCAGTCCCGGCGTGTGGGTCAGCAAAGCCTTGGGAGCCAGGGCCCAGGCTTCCTCAGGGAACAGGAGGAGCAGTGGGGTGGAGGCTGTGGGCAGGAGAGGAGGCTGGCCCTGCAGGCTGTGCGTGTGCGTGTGTGTGCGTGTTTGTGCATGTGTGTGTGCGCACACACACAGAAGGAGGGCGGCAGGCTTTCTGCTGGTGCAGGGCTGTGGCAGAACCAGGTTAGGACTGTCAGATGCTCACTTAGGAGGATTTCCTAGAACAGCCTGTCCTGGATGGAAATAGCCTGGTGTGGACCCGCCCCCCTGAGCTTCCTGAGATGGGGCCTTTGGGAGCCAGGGCAGGGCATGGGGGAGGGGGAGCCCGGCAGGTGCTGCAAGAATAACCCTCGTGCTCCTGGGCAGGCTCCAGAGGTCCCCCCACTTGAGCCCCCACTGTTATCAGCTAACACATGCTCTGTGTCCTCCATCTAAGCCCCGCCTCTCCATTTAACCTGTAATATGCCACCCCCTTCTGAGCAGCCATCTTCCTCTCAACACATACACCCCCAGGTCCCCGTCCGAGCATCCAACGTGCCCCCTTTAAGGATATACACACGCCCGTCTGTCCCGCCGAAGCACAGGCTCTTCGGGGAACAGCAGGCCTGTGTACCCCCATCTGAGCGTCCCTCTGTAGGACAAGGCCATCCCCCGCTGGAAGGCCAGCTCCTGTAGGTCATTCACGGTGACATACGGGAAGCAGGTTGCGTGGCAAGCCACAGGCTGTGGGGAGGAGGGGGTCCCCTCTAGCTGACTGCTGGTCTCCACCGCCCAGAACACAGGGCGGACAACAGGAGTGTGTGGCGAATGGTTGCTTAGTTCCGCCGAGCCCGGCCATCAGTGAGCACTGACAACACAGCGAGGCCTCTCTCCCTGGGACGGCCCAGCGTCCTCTGGGGGCAGAGTAGCCCTGGGTAAGGGCCCTCTGCGAGCTCTGGGGCAGAACCCCCTGAGCCTGCTCTCACATCACCCTCACAACTACCCCATGCAGGGCTTACAGGAGTCACCCCCATTTCACAGATGTGATGACTGAGGCCTGATGGGAGAACTCACTTGCCCAAGACCACAGAGCTAACAAGTGGTGGAGCTGGGATTAAAATCCAACTCTGTAATTTCACAGGCCACACTCCACCACCCAGGGAGCAGAGGAGAGAGGCGGGGCGGGGACGGGCTGCTTGCTTCACCTCTATAACAACCATGTATGTGAAGGGCCTCTGTCCCCAGAAGGGCCAAAGCAGCAGCAAAAACAAAGCACCCTGGGAGCTGAGCAGAAGGTGCCCTCTTCCTACCCCACTTGGATGGGTAATCAGGGAAGGCCTCAGGAGGAGGTGGCCAGGAGAAAGGGCACTCCAGGCCCAGGCATGGAAAGGGCAGTGGCCTGGAGGCTGGCTCATGGGGCCTGAAGGATGTGGCTGCAGGGGTCTTGTCTGGGTGGGGCTGGCGTGATCTCCGCAGACCTCTAACCCTCCCAAGCAACAGAGTATGGCTGCTGGGGTGAGGGGTTAGCTGAGCACTGCCCTCGCAGCCACAACAGAAGGGAGAAAGTACTCCAAGCAGCTTAATCCCCTTAATGAGCAGCTAATTGGGGGCTGTCTAGACAGGAAGCTGGAGGAAGTCAGGAGGAGAAAACGGAAGATAATGATGGGGGCGGGGGGAGGGAGACACATGAATCCATCTCCCATTCTAGCTGTGAGCACCTGCAGGGCAGGCACAGGCGTACAGTAGGGGTTTCTACTGAGGCTCCCACAGGAGGGAGTGAGTTTGCCATCACTGGAGGCAACCAATGAACGCTAGAGGGAGACACACACCCTGTGACATTGCCTTCCAGCTCCCTCATTGCCCATCACACACCAGAAGCTGGTCTAGGTTTTCACCTCGGTCCCCTATTGGTGACACTTCCTTCTCAGGGCAGGAAGGTCGGACTAAGCCACAGTGACTAGCTCTACCATATCCTTCCTTTTAAAACTTTTTCTGTTTTCAGCTTCCTGAACTAAAAGCTAGGTTCTTTCCAACCTTGCTCTTTTCCTCATCAATAGACTCAAGGCTATAATGGTACCACCTCTCAGGGCTGCTGCGGCTCTATCACAGAGGCTGTCTTTCAGCTCTAAACAGTATATACTTTATATGCAAACAGCCTCTTCAATCACAGAGTTAATGACAAGCGCTTCTGAGTTCCCAATCTGTAAATAACAGGGCAGACATCTCCCAATATCTGCTCTACCCTTCTTCCTTAGTAACAGAACCCTTAAATTTGAGATAATTGTCCAAAATAAGACTACAGTTCCCAATGCCCCTTGTAGCAGAGTGTGGCCACATGACTAACCCAGGAGCAGAGAGATACACAGAAGATAAGTGCATCTTCTGAGAATTATTCTTAAAGGGAGAGGACATGCCCAGTCTTGACCCTTCTTCTTTCCTGCTGCCTGGAATGCAGAAATGAGGGCTGAAGGGCCAGCAGCTGTCTCGGGGCATGAGGTGGAAATGAACATCTTGTTCCGTGGATTACAAGGCAGGAGCCGAAGTCCCTCACATTACACTTGCTAGGGCTGCTGATGGCTGGACATTCACTGGCAAGAGAAAGCACTATTCCTTTGAGTTTTCTGTTTTTCATAATCAAACGTAAAGCTTATTGAATGCAGGGTCTTTTATAGAGACGGGGAACCCACAGAGGCAGAACCGTAGAGACGCTCTGACCCATAAGTTAAAGCCTGACAATAGAGACAGGTCCTCCCAGAGTTAGGGACCTGCTCGGGGAGCCCACACCGTGGAGGGGGAGGAGACCTGGGACCTCAAAAGTCAACCAGATGTGTTAAGAGGCTGATTCGAAGAGGTGGGAATTTTAAGACATGAGCAACAATAAACTCTCCTGCTTCCTGGACACTTATGTGCTATAGCTTCTCTACCCACATCCTTCCACTTCCTCCTTCCAACTTTCTGAAAGAAGAGTTAGTCATCACTCCTGCTTTGAGGATGAGAAAACCCAGGATCAGGTAAGTTCCCCAAGTAACACAGCCCACAAAGCAAGTCAGGGCAGCGCTGGGATTTGAACCCAGGTCTCTCTGGTGCCTGAACCTGCCCTCTTTATTGTAATGCTGCTTTTCGAGAATCCTACAGGTATGGACAGATCTTTATGAGAAAGCAGACTCTATACTATGGAGGATGGAAAGAAGAGAAGAGGAGGAGAAAACACATCCTATGGCTTATTGCAGGGGTCCTCAAACTTTTTAAACAGGGGGCCAGTTCACTGTCCCTCAGACCGTTGGAGGGCCGGACTATAGCTTAAAAAAAAAACTATGAACAAATTCCTATGCACACTGCACATATCTTATTTTGAAGTAGAAAAACAAAATGGGAACAAATACAATATTTGTATTTGCATGTGGCCCGTAGGCCATAGTTTGAGGACCCCTGGTGTATTGGGTGCTTATTAAGTGCCAGGTCTGTCCTAGGGATATCAGCTGTATCAATTCACTTAGTCCCCACAACAACCTGTAAGGTAGGTACTGCAGGTATTAACACGCCAATTTTACAGATGAGGAAACAAGCTCAGAGAGGTGGGGGCACCAGGAAGCTCTAAGAATTGGTAGATTCAACAGTCCATTTCATAACCCTTAGGCTATCCCACGGGGTGAATTCTTGATAAGGGATAAGAGACTGGGTAGAGCGATGCTTCTAAAAAAATAACAGGGATGCCTGCCCCAGAGCAAAGGCAGCCTGTGGGCCACTTTGCACACCGTTTCCTGAGAGTCACAGATGCTGGCCCACTGGAGAGAACCTTAAGGTGAAAGGGATTCTTTAGAGGAGAATCTTGGTGGAGACAGGGCTCCCCAAAAAAGGGAACTCTTTGGAGAAAGTACTCGGGGAGACGTTATGTAAACAAAGAATCCCCAGGAGCCAGTGCTCAATAGAAAAGAGACTATGGAACTGCTGACCCTATAAAATAGGAACCGCGTGAGAGCCTGGAGAGGTCCCTGTGAAGACCGAAGAGCAACAGAACGAAGCCCCCCTGAAAAAGTGCGCTAAGAGAAGAGAGACCTGGAATCACCCGGGGAAGATTCCCCATGGAGGTGGGAGTCTCTTAATACAGGACTTCACCGGGGACCCCAGTGAGTAGGGATCCTACATCTCAGGACCCCCTGGATGAGGTCTAGGGCAGACGCCTAGAGGAAACACCCTGTTGATCAGAACCGTTAAAGTCAATCCTATAGATCAGGAACCCCACAAAGACTGGTCCCTGAAGGGCAACGAGCAGGATAGTCGGGCGTGGGAGAGGCTCCCTCTACCCACGCCGGCCTGAGCGGAACCAAAAAGCTCCGGGAACTTGAGCCCGGACTTGACTTCCAGCTGCGCGCAGCCTCGTGACTACAATTCCCGGGAGGCCTCACGGATCCAGGCCCGCTTCCCGCTCCCTGGCAAGCAAGTAGTGCCTGCCGGAATACGTAGTCCCCGCCGCGTAACCCCGACCGGAAGGTCGTCCCCACACCGCCGCCAGCCCCACCTCCTTCCATGTCCTCCGTCCAGTTTCGGCTGCTACTCGTGGGAGAGCTGGGCGAGGTGTAGTAATCGCCGCCGGGGCTGGTGTCTACGTCTTCCTCCATCGAGCCCGATTTGTGCCGCTTGCTCCTAAGGGGAAAGGGAAGAAGAGCGCAGGCCAGTTACCACGGAGACGCGGGCGGAGGCGACGGGCTTTGTAACTTCCGGCCCTTAGGGGGCGGGGTGAGGAGGGTGCTCTCGCGAGATCTCAAAGAAACCCCAGACTTTCAGCCAGTTATGGTAACACCTGTGTCAACCTGCCTATTGCTTAGATGAGACACTTGGGGCCACACTGCAGGAAGCTAGCAGAGCGTGACTAAAGCCCGGAGGCCTGGCTGGTGACTTGGCCTGCTGTCGTCCTCTGAACAACCGGTAGGACTGTGATCCCATTTTACAGAGGAGGACACAGAGGCCAAATAGATGCGACCAGTCATGGTCACACAGCACATGTCGGCAGGAGGCAGTGTCTTTATTCCCATGGAGTCTCACGGTCTGGGCCTGTAGGACTCAAGCCCAGAGAGGGATGTCAGGGAAGGAGGCACTTGGGTTTTGAAGGATGAGTAGGCATTTCCCAAGTAGACCATGAGCGCAGGCATTCCAAGGAGAGGAATGAATCAGCTGGGGCCAGCTCACGGTGGGCGAGGGGTCATGAAATGCCCAGAGATGGGGACCCAGGCACATACCCACTGGAGGAAGTGCTGGGTAGCGTTCTTCTCATGCCGGTGCTGGCTGGATTCAGGTCATATGCCAGGTGCCCCTGAAGCTCACCCAATGAGAAGTTAGGTCCCGTTCCAGTCACCACAGGTGCTGCAGAGAGTGACAGGGAGGGGAATGAGGGAGGGAGCGATGTCCAGGACTGCTGTTTGCCCTGGAGGGGTGGGGAGAGCCCCTTCCCAAACTGGCCTGGTTCTTAATTTGGCCAGGACTGGCTTTATTCAATAGATTTAAAAAACAAAAGAAAACATCCAAGGCCATCAAGAGAAGCCAAGGCTGTGCTGTGAGGCAGAGGCATAGCCAGGGCTGGAGACCAAGCTTTCCAGCACTCCCAGAGGCTGATCTGGATAGGAAGATGGTGGTCAGGGTTAAGCAAAACTCCCTGGGGTGGAATTCAAATGGGGGTGTCTGAGAGACTGGGGTGAGTCCCCAGTAAGTTCATAGGGAACATAGGGGGCAGGAAGCAAAATGGGGGGGGGGGGACTCCAGGAAAGAGAGATGCCGGGAAGAAGGTTCTTCAGCCACTCCCCCCAGCATATGGATTCTGTTTCCTGGGGAGGAGCATGTCACCCTGACCTTGGGCTCTGGGAAGGGCCTGGATACTGCCCTTCCTAGGAACCTTGGCTTGTGACTAGGTAGCTGGAGAGGACAAGGGAGAGAAGAGGGGGTGATGGGGTCCTTCCTCTTCCCTGAGTCCCTACCCTCTCCCTGAGATGCTTTCCCTCTTAGAGCCTCCATCCTGAAGTCCCTTCTACTCTTCATCGCCCCTCCCTCTGTAAGCCCCTCCCCTGTCCGGGTCCCAGCCCAGGCAGGTGGGTATACTCACTCCGGGACACTTGGATGAGCTCGGTGACACTGAACACACCAGAGGTGACAAAGCTCTCCTGGAAGTCGGTTGTGTCTGGAAAAGGGAGGGAATGGGTGTCAGTGTGTCTGTTTCCCTCCTCAACACCCCAGCGCTGTCCAGACTCGGGGCTGGACCCAGCCTGTGTGGTCACCCCCTCTTTTCCTGCAGCCCTGCAGTGGTGGGGCTACCAACTAAGCCACTCCAGCCAGGTGGAGTGTCCCTCTGCCCTTACACAGCTGGAGGGGACATGCTTTTCTTAATATCTGCATCCAGTTTCCCCTTCTCCGGGCGGGCCCCATAACCAGCCTCCTCTTCATTCGGGGCTCCCCAAGCTGCAGCAGGTTGCAAGCAGAGGCCGGACCCAGGTTCAAATCTCGGCTCAGTCACCCCTTCAGTGGTGATCTTGGGCAAATCCCTTCCCCTCTATGCTCCCTAACCTTGAAAATGGGGACCATATACCCTGTTGTCTGGGTGGTTGAGAGCTATGAACCAGACTACCCAGGAGGGGCAGGCCTGCTTTCTTTATCAATCATCACCCCAGGCAATGCTGTCCTTCAGTCTCTCTCTCCCTCCAGACTGGGGGCTTCACAAAGGCAGGGATTTCTCTGCCCAGGCCCTGCCGTGTCCCTAGCCAGAGCCTGGCAAAAAGGCTCAGACCACAGGCTGAATAGAGGGTCCACGGGCACAAGTGAAAAGCCTGCGTCCCCAGAACCACTCCCACCTAAGTTCAGAGGAAGAGAACTCTGCTCTCTGGGCTGGGCTGGTTTGCACACAGATGTTCACAGCAGCACGACGCGTGACCGCCCGAACTGGGGGCAACTCAGTGCCCACTGATGGCTGGATGGCTGGATGAACAACCGTGGCCCATCCAGACAACGGTATTTTCAGCCATAAAAAGGGTGAAGCACTGACACTCGCTACCACGTGGATGAACCTTGAAAACATGATGCTCCGTGCGGGAAGCCAGACACTGAGCTTCAAAAGGCCGCGTGAGCAGTGACTGGATTTGTGTAAAGTGTCCAGAACAGGCAAATCCACAGAGACAGAGCGAGTTCGTGGTTGCCAGGGACTGGGGGTGGGGTGGGGAGTGACTGTTAAGGGGGAATGAAGTGTCTTTTGGGGTGATGGAATGTTCTGGAACTAGAGAGTGGTGATGGTGGCACAACATTGTGAATGTACTTAATGCCACTGAATTTACATTGTAATCGGGTTAAAATGATAAAATTTATCTTAGGTGTCATTTATCACAATAGAAAAAATGTTAATATCACTAAGTCCAGTGTGAGGTGTGTCAGGCAGGGGCAGGGCGGGCAGGGTGAGGAAGCTCCTGGGAAGGGGACCTATCTGACTCACAGGCTCAGAGAAAGCCGCACGGAGAGGGCAGTATTTTACCAAGACCCTGGGGTACCTGCCGGTGGAAAACGGGAATACGTGCGTTCAAGTGTGGGACGTGCCAAGAACAGCAGCAGTGGCACAGGGTGACTGCCCTGCACGTGTTGGCCACTCCGGTTGGGACGATCATAGATGTGATGTTTCACCACCTCCCTGGGGGCCACAAAGTTCCTGGTGGCAAGAATGGCCTGTGCAAACGCCCTGGGGTTGGAACGCACTTGGCAAGGTGGAGGCCAACAGGGCTGGAGTGAAAGGAGCTTTCGAACCCTTTCCGTTCTTCAGGGCTCTGCTCCCAGCCCTGCTTCTGGGAGAGTGGTCAGAAAGGGTGTGGGGTGGGCAGGCAGGAATCTCTAGGCCGTGTGTGTGTGTGTGTGTGTGTGTGTGTGTGTGTGTGTGTGTGTGTGTGTAGTAGAAATGGCAAGCTCGATTTCTGAGCTACTATGCACAATCATTGTGGGTCCAGTCACCCGCTCAAGGCTGAACGTAAAATAGATGGTCTGAAACATTAAAAGCCCGTCGCTGTCAGGTCAGATCCTGGCCCGTTTCCCCACACCGATCCTCAGGTAATTAGATTTTGTTCTGTAAACAAAGGCTTGGCTTGACAACCTCATTGTAGTCTCATTCTGCTTGGTCTGTTGGTAATCACAGATGCCTCAGGGTTAACGTTAGAAGGCGAAGCTCTCAGTGAAAGGAGGTCTCTGTTTCCAGTGTGTGTGAGTGTGTGTATGAGAGAGAGAGAGTGTGTGTGTGTGTGTGAGTGAGAGTGCTGGGCACAGTTCTTCCGGCCCCCACGGGGCAGCACCAGCTGCAGGGAGCTCACCATGGTGCTGTTCTCCTGCGGTCCAACATCCTGGACAGCCCAGGAGCCACAGCCTTCCTGATGACAAGCTCTGTGCGCACCATTCATTGAGCACCTGTCATCTTCCCAGGCTCACGCTGGGAAGCACAGGGTCACCACATCCCAGGAAGGACAGGGCGGCGGACCCCCAGTGTCCAGGGCAAGTGGCCATGGCTGTTTCCTGCCCACCCCACTGGCCAGCTGGTGTCGGCAGGCCCCCTGCCCTCCCCGCGCCGGGGCTTCCTGTTTGTCCAGCACTCGCCCAGCTCCATCTCCAGGGGACTCCCTGGCGGGTGGAAAGGAAGTGATTTCCTCCGCCAGACGCTGGAGCTCCTCAGGGGACCAGCCCAAGTGTGCAGCTGCCCAGCCGCCTTGAACGTCTGAGTCAGAAGGAGGTTCCGGGGTCTCAGGAGGCCAAGGAGGACTCTGGGCACAGATGGCCGTGAGGAGCGGCCTGGGGGCCTGGGAACCTCCTTGAACCAGCCAGCCTCTGTGGGCATGGCTGGGCCGGTACCTCCAACAGGATGCCCTCACATACTGGCTTTCCTCCCTCCCTCCCTCCCTTCTCATCTCTCCAGTTTCTTTTTTTCTCTCTGCTTCATACCTGCCTTCCTTCTTTCTTTCTCTCTACAAATATTTATTGAGTCACTTAACTGTGTACCAGGTATTATTCTAGGCACGGAGGACACAATAGTAACCAACATAGACAAAAACCTCTGCCCGAGTGATGTCCCATTAGGGCAGGAGGCAAACACATAAGCAATCACTAACTTTCTCGGAGGGAGTAAAACAGAGGGCGGTGATCAGAGTGGCCGAGGCTGCTGGAGCTGAGGGCCCTTTGAGGGGTGCATTTGAGTGGAGGCCTGGGAGCTGGAGGCAGGAGAGCGGATAGCTGTCCAGGCAGAGCTCACAGCACATGCCAAGGCCCCGAGTCGGGGTCATGCCTTGCATGTTGGGAGAACGAGGAGGAGCCCTGTGTAGCTGGAACACAGCAAGTGAGTAGAGTGAGCGAGGGGGAGAGAGGGAGGAGGGGAGAGCAGGGAGGGGACAGGGGTAGGTGGGGTGGGGGGCTTGTGGGAAGGCCTTGGGCTCACCCTCCACCCGAAGTGGGAGCCCTGGAGGGCTTTGGGCAGAGGAGGGTGGGCCCTAACTCAGGTGCTCACCGTCGCCCTTTGGCCACTTTGGAGAGAACAGACTGTGGGATGGGGGGGATGGAGGGGGGCAGGGCAGAAGCAGCTTCCAAATCCCTTCCATTCTTCAGGGCTCTGCTCCCAGCCCTGCTTCAGGCAAATTCTCCCACTTTCCACCTCCCAACATAGAACTGACCTTCCTATTTACTGTTAAATATCCCCTGGGAATGCAGGGTGCCCTAGGGCCTCTCTCCTGGGCTGAGGGAGTGCCTTCACCTCTCTGAGCCTCAGTTTCCTTACTTGCAAAATGGAACCACCCAGCAGCTGCCCCAGTGCGTCGCTGTGAGGAACGAACTGTTCACGTGCGTCAGGCACACACACGGAGCCACCAGTGCACGCGAGGGGGTGCTCAGAAAACGACCCCCACATTCAATATGAGGACGGCCCCGCCCACCACCCCTCGCCTGCCCGGACTCACCCAGCGTGATGGGCTTGCTGTCCTCCTGGTCAGAGCCCATCCCGGCCCGGGGACTGCCGCTCTGCTCCGCGTCTGCCAAGAGAGGAAGGAGTTGGTGATACAGGACGGCCCTGGACGTTCCAGGCCCCGGAGTCTTTGCTTGGCCCCTCCCTTGGCTGCTGCCCCAGAGGGTCGTGGGTGTCTGGTCGGGCACCTGCAGGCGTCAGCACAGGTGCCGGGACTCCCGGTGCAGCCAGGTGCTGGAATGTGGCCTCACACACAGGGCGAGACGCCATGTGCAGGGGCCGACTCAGTGGAGGGGTTACAGCTCTTCCCCTGAGCCTCAGTCTCCTCATTTGTGAAACAGGGGGGCTCATGTAATCCTGCCTCGGTCCTAGGAGCTTACAGATGGGGAAACTGAGGCCAGAAAGATGAGTTCTTGAACCCTGGGGTCCACTCCTCTCAGCCTCCGCCCTTCAAGTCCTAAGGGCTCAGCCCTTGGTCTCGGGGTGCTACTCAGGGTCTCCAGGGAGGGGGCCGAGGGGCATCCCTCTGCAGCTGCAATGCCCCCACCCGCTGCCCGGCTTGCGGGCTACCTCCCGCCCCAGCACTTGCCCATCCATCTTATCTAAAAATAATCAGGCTCCTTGGCAGACGGGTGCCGCGGGCAGACGCTGAGCTCAGCGTTATCGGCTCCAGGGGCCTGGATGGAGGGCGATCACGCCAGCTCCCTCTGCCGCCCCACACCCACCCAGGACCCAGGCTGAGGGGGGCCCAGGGCCCAGCCCAGCTGCACAGAACCCAGGACCCACCCATTTGTCTTTCAGGTCAAACAGAAAGGTGCCGGGAATCACAATCCAATGCCAGGCCCCCCATACCCGCTGCCCCGCCACACCCAGAGCCGAGAGCCATCGCTGTGTGACCGTAGGCCAGTCACCGACTCCTCTGAGCTGCAGTCTTCTCCTCTTTCAAATGGGTGTGAGCACGGCCCAGTCTGACTGGGTTGCCAGGAGGTGACAAGGGGATAATACATATGAAGCGCTTGGGCCAATATGGTAATGTCCTCATTATTATCATCGCTAGAGGCCTGATGCACGGAAATTCGGGCAAGGGTAGGCCTTCCTTCCCCCGGCTTCCGGCACCGGCTTCCCTCTGACACCCGGGACCCAGCTGGCTTCCCTCCGGCCCCAGCTTCGTCAGGAAGGACGTCCGGAAGGACGTCTGGCCTAATTAGCATATTACCCTTTTATTATTATAGATTATGTTTAAAATCCCTAAGATGACTGCAGATATTGCTGTTCCCATTTTATATGCTCCCTCAAATCCTTAAGATAGCCACCAAGCTGGCATTGTTACTGTCCCCATTTTATAGGCAAGGAAAACAGTGTTAAAATGATGACAAGGTCCCCACCCCACAGCCCTTGTGCTCTGTGATGAGGGTCACAGTTGAGCCTGGAGCAATGTGGGGGTCAGGGGCGTTGTTAACAATCCTTGTAACACTGGACTCCCCCCAAAACTCAGTTAATAGCTTACTGTTGACCAGAAGCCCTACTGATAACATAAACAGTCTAACACACACTTTGTCTGTTATATGTACAATAGACCGTACTGTTAGGATAAAGGAAGCTAGAGAAAAGGTTGTTCAAAAAGCATAAGGAACGGAAAACACGTTTACAGTATTTACGGAAAAAACTCCACGTAGAAGTGGATCCATGCTCTTCAAGCCCATGTTGTTCAAGGGTCAACTGTGTTTCTTCTTCGCCCGGGCAGGCGGCCAGACATCCAACACTGCGCGTGCGTGCGCCATCTGGCTTCTGGGATCAGCCGCCGAGTTCCCGTCCGTCTGGGAGCCTCAGAGGAGGTGTGGTCGTGGCGAGGTCACTTCCCCTCTCGGGCCTCTGTTCCCTCCGTGTTGTCATGGAGATAATAATAACGCGGATACTTCCTAAAACAGTCACGCGCTCCTGCTGTCTGCCTGGCACTGTGCTAGCGGCTTTGCACACGCCGTGTGTGGTACACCTACTGGCTGCCAAGGTGGAGGGCGCCATAAACCGCACAGGAGGGGCCGGTGCGAGGCCCCGTGCCTCAGTTTCCCATCCTGGAGTGGATGGATGGGAGCAGCTCCTTCCTGACTTGGCTTTGCAGCCCCAGCCGTGGCCGACTGGGCTGGGCATGGCTGGGCAGCAGCCGAGGGGAGTGTGCCCGGCTCGGCCCTGAGCCCTGTGGCCACTTCCAGGTTGGGCAGCCAGCAGCCCCTCGGAGCTGGCCAGTCCCGCTTGGATGGCCCCACGGCTGGGCACGGTGGCCACTCCATTGGGAAGTGCCCAGCCTGGGCACTCATCCGCCGGGCTCTGGGCCTCGGGCACGGGACCCTCTTCCAGAACTGGTGTCCACAGGGACTCAGCAGGCAGCAGTGCCTGGCTGACACTCCGGAACGGGCATGTTTCCTGAGCACCGCCTCTGTGCTTGTGGCTTTGGAACCAGGCAGACCAGGCTGTGGGCCTCAGAGGCAATGCTGCATCTCTCTCTGAGCCTTACTCTCTTCATCTGTGAAATGGGCACAACCCCAGCACCTCCCCTGAAGGCTGTTCATCGGGGGAAAGGTGATAAGGCTGCAATGAAGTGCCCGAAACAAAGGCTGGTGTGCAGTAAGTGCTGCATCAAACGGAGGAGGAGCCTCATTACTATTATTGCCAGCTTTGTTGTTTGTTGCCTTGGTGGCTCTGTATCCATTAACAAGCGACTGCACTAGGCTATGGCTGGCTCTAGCTGGAGCCTTGTCTCATTGTTCATTCACTCTGGGACCTCAGGCCAGCCACACCACCTCTTTGAGCCTTGGTTTCCTCATCTCTGAAATGGGCAAGATAACAAACCCCACCTCCCCGGGTTTGGTGAGTCACCCCGTTAGCTAATATGAAGTGTAAAACAGTTGCCATCCAATTGCCAATCAATACATGGTAGGTTTGGGGACAGATTATAAAAGATACTGTGTTTTTAACTTTTGTTTCTAATTGTTCGCTGCTAGCATTTAGAGGCGCGGTTGGATTTTTTGTGTGCATCCTGTATTTTGCAGCCTCGCTGAACTTACTTCTTAGTTCTAAAAGCTTTATTTTTTTTTTTAATTCCTTGGGATTTTCTATGTAGACCATGATGTCCTTTGCAAATAAAATAGAAACAGTTTTGTTTCTTCCTTTCCAATCCATAGGCCTCTGATTTTCTTTTCGTGCCTTATTGCACTGGCTAGGATCTCCAGAGCAATGTTAAAGAGCGGCGGGCAGCAGTCCGCCTCGCCTCTGAGCGTCAGGGGCGCGCTCACGCCCTGACCACTAAGCCTGACGTTAGCTGTGGGTTTCTGCAGGTCCCTGTGTTGGGCTGAAGATCTCTTCCTTCTCCATTGTCCTGGGAAATATCTTTTTTAATTTAAATAAGTATAATTTAATATGATGTTGTACTTATTTGCTATCTCATTTTACATTTAACTTTCAGATTGCAGTTAAGAACATAGCACAAAATTTCACCATTTCTCAGTGTACAGCTCATTACCTCTATCCACAATGTTGTATAACCGTCCCCACCATCCGTCTCCAGAACTTCCTCATTTTCCCAAACTGATGCTCTGTCTCCATTAAACACTAACCGCCCCCCCCCCCCGTCCCTGGCTCTCCCCATCTATGTTTATGACTTTGACTCCCCTAGAGACCACGTAAGAGCGGAACCACACAGTATCTGTCCTTTCGTGCCTGGTTTATCTCACTGAGTGTAATGCTCTCAGGTCCATTCATGTTGTAGCCTGTGTCAGAATCTCCTTCCTTTTTATGATGCCATCTTCTTTCTAATCATCTCTGAAACCTCAAAACAGTTCTCCCCCACCTGCTGACCGCTTGCCTGTCATCTGGGTCAGCTTCGAGAGCTGTCTAGTAGGAGAGCCACTAGCCACATGCGACTCTGCATTTAAATGAAATGAATTGAAATGAAATTTTCAGGACACCAGTTGCACTGGTCGCCTTTCAATACACCACAGCCACACATCCGTGGCTGGTGGCGACCAACTGGGACCGTGCTGAACACGGCCAGCGTCACTGCCGGCTCTGCTGGGCGGAGCTGCCCTGGATGTTCCCTGGACAAAGGGGGGGAGGGGGGGTAGAGGCACAGCGAGCTCCTCCTCCTCCATGTACTTAGACACCCAGCCCTGAAATGCATCTCCCTCCCGTCTCCACAGATGCATCCGCAGCAGATAACGCTAGAGGATGGCTCCTGTCCCAGCCCCAGCCTCCAAGCGGGCAGCTTCCAGTGCCAAGTTCTCACCGTGCTAAGAGCTTCCTGGTGCCGTCCAATTCAATCCGCCCCATTGACGAAGTGGGTAAACTGAGGCCCAGCTCAGTGAGTCAGGTTCCCAAAGGTGGTATCAGAAGCTGTCTGCTTAGCCTAGAGGTTCTTAACTGGGGTGATTCTGGCCCCCAGGGCTGTGCTTGTCACAATGGGGTGCTCCTGGCATCGAGTGAGTGGTGGCCAGGGATGCTGGTCAGCACCCCACAGTGTCCAGGACAGCCCTTCCCCAGAGTGACCGGCCTGTATCTCAGCAGGGCCAGGAGGGGCCCCTCGTCTAGCTCTGTCCATTCTCAGTGGGGGCAACAACTGGTTCTTAAGGGGTGGTATAAGAGGATTAGAGAATGTTGCTCTTTTTACGTATAGAATATAAATATATGTATAGATATAGATACACTACATAAATAGGTATAATAGCATCTATTTAATAGATACTAAAATTTCGTGGGGTGAAGTGATTCGGGAAAAAGAATGTCTAAAAGGCTCTGTAGGGGGAGGTGCTGATGGAAAAAAGGGTCAGATCCCTTTGCACAGGGTTATAGGGTTGTAAACGAGGAAAAGAAGGTGGGACAGAGCGTGTGTGACCAGCCAGGCCCTTTGCTGTGTGCTCCGGGCAAGTCCTTCATGCCTCTGTGCCTGTTTCCTCATCCGTAAATCGGAGCTAAACAGCACTGCCTTTACCTCTCTCCTTTGACACTCAGTGTGTCCTGGGCACCAAATGCTCTGGGGACACAGCAGCGACCACATGGACAAAGTCCCTGCCCTGGTGGCGCTGACATCCTAACGGGGGAGCAACAGGCCATGAACAAATCTCCACATACACCAGGAGGACGGTTTCAGGCTCGGCCAAGTGCAAGGGAGGCCACACAACCCTGGGATGCGGGGGATGGGGTCGGGGGGTGGGACGGGGGGCAGCCCTGGAACATGAGGGGCTGAGACCAGCTCCTGGGAAAGTTGATAGGGTATCTCCTTTTCAGACGGTACATCTAACAGTCACACTTAGCCGGCATCCCCTAGACCAGCGGTTCTCAACCTGGGGGTCGAACGACCCTTTCACCGTAAATACATCCTGCATATCAGATATTTACATTACGATTCATAACAGTAGCAACATTACAGTTATGAAGTAGCAACGAAAATAATTTTATGGTTGGGGGTCACCACAACATGAGGAGCTGTGTTAAAGGGTCGCGGCATTAGGAAGGTTGAGAACCACTGCTCTAGACTGCGAGGCTCCAAGAGTCGCTTCCGTGCACTCATTTAAACTTCAAAACTCCCCCAGAAGAGTCGTGATGATCGCGCCCATATTCCAGACTGGGAGACAGATACTCCGGATACACTGACTCCCTGCAGCCGCCCTTGCCTGAGGCTGAGCCCCGCTGGCCCTCACAGCAAGGAAAACGACACGGCGGCCTGGTTCTGGTTGCTCCTCTCGGAAAAACATAACAATGAACATCTTATCGAACTTTAGCATTGCTTGTTCGTGACCTTCCTCCTGACCTTGTCGACCCCGCCCCGCCCCGTGTTCTGCAGTCCGCTCATTCGATCTGGCTCACAATGCACTCTGAGTAGCATGAGGACAACGTGGACGGACAGGCTGTAAGAGCCCAGGCACGTGGCGGGAGCTGGTGAGCCGAAGCCTGTGCTGTGGGCAGCTGAGCTAGGGAACGCCTGTGGGGTCCCCGAGATGTGAATACACATCCCCTGAGCGTGGGGCTCCCGGTCAAAAGGCATCGCTGCAGAGTTCTCGGGGCCGGTGTGGGCCTCCCAGAGCCTGTCAGACGCACTGGGATCGCAAGGAAGAGGCGGCAGGTCACAGGCTCATCCGAAGGTGGGGCATCTTCTGGAAACGACAGCTGTGCCCCAAACCCTGGGTTCGAGTCCCAGCTCTGGCACAGCCTGGCCTGGGAACTTGGACTACTTGGGTCTCTCTCCCCTCTGAGCCTCGGTTTTCCCCATCTGTAAAGTGGGCATTCTCAGCTGTTCCCTGACCTTATTGGTTTGAGGATTTTAGAGCTCAAGGAGGAGAGGGGCCAACCACAGACCAGGGGGTAAACCTGTTTGGGGAAGAGCATTTTGCCAAACTCACAAGTTAAGCAATTTTATCCCTCCTCTGCTCACAGCCTTCCAGGGCTCCTACCTCCAGAGTCCAAGTCCTCCCCGTGGCCCACAACACCCTGCGTGACCTGCCCTCAGCCCGTCCCCGCCCTCCCCTCCTCCCTCTCTCCCCCTTGTTCACTCGGCTCCAGTCACACAGGCCGCCGCCCCCACCCCTCCACACTCTGCCCGGGGTCCTGCCCCAGGACCTTAGCACGGGCTGTTCCCTCAGTATCCACCTGGCTCCTGCTCTCCCCTCATTCTGGAACCTTCCTCAAAAATGTCCTTAGAAACTGACACGCAGGCTCTCCGCAGCAGGCACGGGGTGCAGCGACGCGCACGCGCTGTGTGAGCGAGAGCTGGCCCTCGGCAGCAGCTGTATTTCAAGTGACATCCGCGCTTGGCTGGGGCCCAGGCCCGTGGGGGTGCTCATGTGCAGCTGGCATGTCACCGCCCCCTGCAGCCTTCTGCTCGAGCAAACACATGCTCACGGCGACAATAGAAACGTAACCTGGATCCCGCTGCCGGACTGTACTGGCTGTTCTTTCCTGTCCGTGGCCACGGCCCAACTCCGGTCTGGCCCAGCCCACGACGGAGGCACCGCCGTGGCCTCTGCTGCCGCCCTCCTGCCCCGGAGCACCCGCCCCCTGCGCACCTGACCACCGCTCTCATCCCCGTGGCTAAAACTCCCAGTTCGTAGCTGGGAGATCAAGGTGCCACCGGCATTCATGTCACAGATGTTTACTGACCAGCTACTGCTTGCCAGGCATCGGGGAAATGGCAGGGAGCCAAGGGAGGAGAGACAGACAGGAAAAGAACAAACAGGCGAAGGCTGAGATAATTTCAGACGTTTCTACGTTCCACAGAGGCAATGAAACTGGGTGAGGGGACAGAGGGAGGCTCTGGGGGTGGCTTTCAAAATAGAAGTCAGGCAGAAGCTCTCTGAGGAGGTGACGTTCGTGCGGAGGACTGAGGAATGGACAGAAGCCAGCCATGGGCAGAGCTGGGGCAGATGGTGTCGCAAGTGCAAAGGTCCTGGGGCAGGACTAAACATGGGATGTTTGAAGAACATGGTGAGCAAAGGGGATCAGAGAGGAGAGGAGCTAGGCCATCAGGGCCACGTGGGCTGCAGTGAGAAGCTTGGGTGTTACTCTTCAGCACGACGAGTAGTGACAGGACATGACCTGTGTTACATTTTTAAATGCCTGGCTGTGAGGATGTGGAGAAAGCGGAACCCTCATGTGCTATTGATGGGCATGGAAAATGGTGCGGCCACTGTGGGGAACAGCTTGGCGGTTGCTCAAAAACTTAAACATTGAGCCCTAGCCGGGTAGCTCAGTTGGTTAGAGCCTCATCCCGATATGTCAAAGTTATGGGTTCGATTCCCAGTCAGGGCATATACAAGAATCAACCAATGATGCATGCATAAGTGGAACAACAAATCGATCTCTCTCTCTCCCTCAAAACCAAATACATAAAATAAAACACTTACAAGTTAGACATAGAATTTCCCTATGACCCAACTATTCCATTCCTATGTACAAACCCCAAAGAATTGAAACCAGGGACTCAAACAGGTATTTGCACACCTATATTCATAGCAGCATTTTTCACAACAGCCAAAAGTTGGAAGCAACCTGTGTCCATCGACAGATGAGTGGATAAACACAATGTGGTCCATCCCGACAGTGGAATATTATTCAGCCTTAAAAAGGGCATTCTGACACCTGCTACAAGGCGGATGAACCTGGAGGACACTGGGCTCAGTGACATAAGCCAGACACAAAAGGACAGATCCTGTGTGATTCCACTCCCAGGAGGTCCCTAGGGAGTCACATTCATAGATCCATACGGAAGCAGATGGTGGGAGCCGGGGGCTGGGAGAGGCGGGTGGAGAGGTAGTGTTTAATGGGGACAGAATTTCAGTTTAGGAAAACGAGCAGGTTCTGAGGATGTATGGTGGGGACAGTTGCACAAGGTGAATGTACTCAATGTCACTGAACTATACACTTAAAAGTGGTTAAGCTGGTGAATTTTATTACAAATGCTAGAGGCCCGATGCATGAAAATTCATGCAAGAGTAGGCCTTTCTTCCCCCGGCTGCAGGCACCAGCTTCCCTCCAGCACCCAGGACCCAGGCTGCTTCCCTCCTCCAGCCACCTGCAGGCACCCAGGACCCAGGCTGGATTTCCTCAGGCTGCCTGCAGGCACCTTGGACCTGGGCTGGTTTTCCTCTGGCCCCGGCTTCATCAGGAAGGATGCCCAGAATGATGTCTGGTCTAATTAGCATATTACCCTTTTATTATTATATTTTACCAAAATACACACACACACACACACACACACACACACACACACACACAGAGTCTCTGGCTGTTGAGTGAATTCTGGATTCTTGGGTGTTGGGAGGGCACGGAGGAGGTGTGGGCAGCGTCCCAGCCGGCATAACAAGCTGGCCCTGGGTTTAATCTTTGGGATGTAGAAAGTACAGGACTTGCTGAAACGATAATTACACGTATCTAAAACCTGGCAGGATACAGGGGAGCCTAGCGTTCCTACTAGGGCCCAGCGGCTTGTCTGCTGGACCAGCACCGGCTGCCATGGAGAGCTCACCTGGTTTATTTTCCAACCTTCGCGGCCTTCCAAGTGTAGCTGGCTTTGCTGGGCTGCCACGTCGGCCTCCCAGCGCCAGCCAGCTGGAGAGAGAGCCAAAGCCAGGCCCTGGAATTCCCAGCTCCCCGTGTCACCAGCCGTTTTTAAACATTCGCCGGGGAAGGTTCACCGAGCTTGGTCCTGGAAGGCCTCTGTACACGTGACCTGGCCTTCCTCCTCCCGCCACGCTCCTCGGGCACCTTCCCTGGCCCCCTCCCGCTCAGGCAAACTCTAGCCGCCGTTCCCGGCCCATTTTAACATCTTTTCTGGAACACCCTCCCTCGGCCCCTTTTCCAAACCTCTGCCCTAGTCCCCATCCCACTGGACTGAGTTTGGGTCTATAACTGTATGAAAGTCCAAACCCTTCCCGGGGCCCACACGGCCCTGTATGACCAGCTCCCTCTCCCCGCTTAGCTCCCTATGCGCTCCTCACTGTTCCTCCGGCACACCGGGCACGGCCCTGCCCCAGGGCCTTTGCACATGCTGTTCCTCTCCCTGGCATGCCTTTCCTGCAGATGCTTGTCCGGCTCACTCCCTCACTTATTCAGGCGTCTGCTCAAACGTGGTTTGTGTGTCCACAGGGCCGGACTCTGGGTCTGAGCTCCACGTTGGAGGCGTTCGGTAATTGACCTCCTCGTGTCCCTCCCCAGAAAGGTGAGAGCAGGTTCCGCGGACGCCCAGCTGTCACCAAGCGCTGGAGTCCCTGAGCCTCCACCCCCAGGCCCAAGGGGAAGCCATGGTTCTTTCATTCAGCACGTGCACTGAGCGCCCGTGTGTGCCAGGCCCTGTGCAAGGCTCCGGGCACAGACAGCACAGACAGACACCGTCCTGCCCCGAGGCTCACAGGCCGGGGTCTCCCCCGCCCCGGGGGGCCAGGGCAGCCGCGCAC